GCCAGGTCACGATCTCACGGTCCCTGAGTTCGAGCCCCGCGTCAGGCTCTGGGCTGATGGCTCGGAGCCTGGAGCCTGTTTCCGATTCTGTGTCTCCCTCTCTCTCTGCCCCTCCCCGGTTCATGCTCTGTCTCTCTCTGTCCCAAAAATAAATAAACGTTGAAAAAAAAATTAAAAAAAAAAAATAATGTTTGGAATTCTGCCATTTGAGATTCATTCCCTTGGCTTTATTTGGTCTGTCAAAATGGCAATCTTTTGGAACCTTTGTGCCCCTGGATCCTTATCGGTCATTCACAACACAGTGCGAGGGAGAGGTTCTGGCTCCTTCTTGAGAGCTGGGTTGGATTGTGCATGGTGATGGAGTGGAAACGAAGACAGAAAAAGAAGCTGACGCAGAGTGGGGAGGAAGCTGTCCTGCTCTCGTGTGTTGCCCCTCTCTGATCCTGCACCCACCTGAGCCCTGCTCACAAGAAACCACAGTCATCAAGAGCACCCGTTTCTCTCCCGAGGGGATGGGCACAGCACAAGCGTGGGCCCAGCCCACCTCGGTTGGTTGTGGTTCTACTATCTGCAACCTGAGTGACCTTGGGCAAGAGACCTTGCCTTCCTGGGTGTGTTCTCATCTGTAAAATGGGCATGAAGTGCCTTCTTGGTGAATTTTTTACTGGGATTAAAAAAGGAACTACATGCACGATGTCCTTTGACAGCTGGCATGCAGTCACCCCTATCTTGAGGAGCTGTCAGGTGAGGGCACAGCAAAGTGTCACCGTACAGAGGGGACATCTGGGGAGCCTTCCCAGAGGAGGCGTCTGGACAGTCATCCACAGCTGTGTTGGCTGATGGGCCTCTTGTTCTGGATTCTGGGTACCCAGGTCAGTAGTTGCTCCCTACCCCAAGATGACTTGTTGCAGAGAAGGGAAGGGTAGAGAGTTAATGCCTGCTAACCCCCTGCCATGCACCTAACACTGGTCTTTGTGTGCCATTCTGGGAGGCACCGGGGAGGGGCAGCATGCTGGCTGAGGCCCCCCAGCTAGGTGGGAAAAGTCAAGGTTAGCAAGAGAAAACCAGTGCTTTGGAAGGCCCAAGCAGTGCCCAGGTGCCGGTCCTGCCCCACTGCTTCCTGGACCCTCGGTCCCCTCAAACAGCTTCCAGAATCCAGCCCTGCTCCTCATGTAAAGGAAGAACATTTGGTTGTGCCTGCGCTAGAGCTCTGCTGGCCTAGATCCCACGGCCTCCAGGCCAAGAGTGACAGCACTCCCGGCACTGGGAAGAGCAAAGGGTTGTTCTGTGTGCCCTTGAATCAGCCCTCTGAGCTGACCTGTCTCACCAGCACACCCTGTGAAAACTGCATTGTGGTGGGGGGAGGGGCGGGGGGGGAGGGTGGGCAGTGGCCTCTCTCAGCTCCACTCCCCGTCACACCAGGGAAATGGGTCCTTGGCAGTGTTCTCTGTGGGGCTGGGCGGCCCCTGGGATGAGGGGAGCACTATCCCGGGAGCGAGGAGGACTTGGTAGAGTCTTAGCCTGCGTCTCTCTGGCCACACAGCATGGAGGGTGACTTCCCCTCTGGGCCCAGAGTCCTCATGAGCTCCCTGTTCCCTTGAGGGCCGCAGAGGTCACTGTCCCCTGAGGGGCGGTACGGAGGTGTGAAGACATGTCCCTGTTCCAGGGGGGGACTCGGGCCCCACCCACCACCTCCAAGCCCAACTGCTAGGTTGGGTTGGATTCCAGCCCCTGCCAGGGCAGGGCAGCCCCCCAGGGGTGCGCTTGTTACCATGACAACACCTCTTTCCAGCCTCTTGCTTCGGAGACACTCATCTGGTCAGTGGAATGGGGTCACCTCGGACAGACTGGGGCTGCCGTGTGCCCTAAACGTGTTCCTTTAAATCCCCATGTAGTCACTGGTTTGTCTCTTGAGGCCTCAGCTGTTGTCACTATGCCCTACAAGGAGACCCTGGTGCCAGGGAGGCTTGGACAGGCCACTTAAGGCCACCGGCTTCCATGACCAGAGGCTGCTGTGACCTCAGCCCTGGCCAGCGTCCTGCAGACCCTAGGAAACTCGTGTGTTTCGGGGATGGGGGGTGGGGGGAAGGACAAAGGGGTCTGAGGACAAGAGATGCCTCACACCGTTCTCCAGAACACCCTGCGTTGACTGAAGTGGGCTCAGCCTTCCAGAATGTTTACCCTTCAATCCCAGATCTGTGCGCAGGAGTCAGAGGTCTCCTCCCCGCCCCACAGGCCTGGCCCACAGGTGTTATTCTCCCGAGTATGGTCTTCATAGAACACCTGTCCTGTCGCGGGAGTGTGAGTGTCCATCCTGCCCCGGTCACCATGCCCGAGGCAGCAAGATTGGCCCTTAGCAAGAGGACGAATTAGTCTGGTTCTCTTTCCTCCCCACCCTTGGACACATAGCACCCCTGCCTAGAGCAAAGACGTCTCTTAAGCCCCTTGTTCTTAATGCAGTTCACTCACAGGTGGACTGGGCTGGGCAGGCAGCCTGTGAGGGAGAGCAGCTTGAGGCCGTGACTCGTGACTTACCCCGGAGACTCCCTTCTGCTGAGTTCAGGGCCTGGCAGTCATACTTGTAGCCGTCACTGAAATGCCTCTGGGATGCTAGTTCCCTGCCCGGTGCTAGTGTATAGAGGGACCTCAGATGGAACCCCGTTACCTGGGAGATGGGCCCGTTAACCCAAGACCAGCAGCAGGCACCCCAGGGGTAGCAGGGAGAAAGGAGCAGAGAGCTCACGCCTGGGCAAGTGGCTTCAGGGAAGGTGTCCCCGAGGCAGTTCCCTCCCCTGGGCTTACAAGGTAGAGAAGGGATTTGCCTTATAAGGTGCAGGAGGCATCGGAGGCCAAGAATCGGTGTGGGCAGAAGCACACCAGTGTGAACGTGGCCTGGCAGGTTCGTTGGGTCTGCACGTCCATTGCAATCACATCTGCAAAAGCTAGAAAACGATGTAGCAGAATGCTTAGGCCCTCCCAGCGGGGAGTTTGTGAAACCCAGATGTTAAGACATCTGGATGTCACCTGCTTGGGTCCTGGCGTGCACGGTGTCGCAGGCACGGTTTTCGGGCACTGTTAAACACAAGCAGTAATTATCTGTGGTTCACTGCAGCCAGTGGACAGACCATCCCCACTCTGAAGTAACCAATCCTAACAATGCCCTTGCCCACATCCAAGGCCAATCCCATGGGGGAAGTTTTGACAGCCTCTGGGGCACACCTGGGTTTTGCCCTCCAAGTGTGGCACTGATGCTGTGATAACAGCTCTTGTTTACCAGCTGACGGCTGTGTCTCAGGTACCGTTTGGGGGACTTTCATCCTTAGGGCAGCCTCATGAAAAAGGCATTATTATCTCCGTATTCCAGTGGAGGAAATTGAGGCTCGCAGAGGTTAAATCGCTTGCTCGTGTGACTGAGCTGATAATGGCTGAGATCCTAATGCGGGTTCGTCTGCTGCTAACACATATTCTTTTCTTTGCGCTGTGTCGGATCACAGGGAGACCCCACGTTCTGAAAAAGTGGAAATTGTATCTTGGTAAATTTGGTCACCCGTGACTCAGCTGTGGTTTCATAGCTATTTCTCTTCTAAAGCCTGATTTTTCTTTAATGGGCAAGTCTTGGGGTAGATGACCTCAGATCACCCCTGCAGCCAGCATGCGAACAACCGCCTAGAAGCTCCAAGTGAGCAGCAGGCCTAGTGGAAAGACCCCGTCCTTGTGTCGAGTGGAGTCCGTGCCCCCTGGAGGACTGAGCAGGGGACATGGAGGTGGCCCTCGGCCACGCCAGCCGGGCCACAGGGACCAGGCCAAGTGCATGCCTCACCTTTGGTGGGCACCCAAGAAGTGAGGCTGTGTTAGCATTAAAAGAAATTCCAAAAGGGGCACCTGGGTGGCTCAGTCGGCTAAACATCCAGCTCGTGATTTCAGCTCAGGTCACCATCTCACAGTTCATGGGTTCAAGCCCCACGTCAGGTTGCATGCTGAGAGTGCAAAGCCTGTTTGGATTTTCTCTCTCTCCCTCTCTTTCTGTGCCTCTACCCCCTCCCAAAATAAATAAATAAACGTTAAAAAAAATCCGTGTAAGGAGAACTAAAAGGATATTGCAGAATTTTATTGCAGCTCAGCATTCCAGAACTCTTCTTGAACCCTGCTCTGCTCCTTTGCAATTAATCCTGTGGCTGGGTGCTCCACAGCAGCAACTACCCCTCTAAACCAAAGCTCTCTACTTTCAGGGCATCTCCCGATTCCTCCCTTTCTCTCAATTCTGTTAGGAACGTGAGCTCTTTGGGGCACCTGGCTGGCTCTTGATCGTGCAACTCTTGATCTCGGGGTTGTGAGTGTGAACCCCACGGTGGATGTAGAGATCCCTTAAAACTAAAATCTTTAGGGGCGCCTGGGTGGCTCAGTGGGTTAAGCATCCCTTGACTTCGGCTCCGATCATGATCTCATGGTTTGTGGGATTGAGCCCTGAGTCAGGCTCTGCATGGTGCAGAGCCTGCTTGGGATTCTTTCTCCTTCTCTCTCTGCCCCGCCCCCTGCTTGCACGCACGCTCTAAATAAACAAACAAAGCAACAAACTTTTGGGAAAAAAATATATTTAAAAACAAAAAGGGAATGAGCTCCTTGCATCTTGCCCCTGGTGTTAGAGTTCTCATGTTCTGTTTTTCATTCATATAGAACGCATGCATCCAGTCATTTAATAAAGAGTTGTGTTATTTCTGTTTGTCCAGCTTTGAGCAGGTACTGGGGAAGCAGTGGGACAGTGTGGCCCATTGAGCCTGTGGTCCCGCAAATCCAAATGCGTGTATGACGAATTTCATCGCCAACACCAGATCGGCCGGTGGGCAGCCGCACCAGCACACAGGAGTTTTCAACCCGCGTGTGCCAGCCAATGTGTGCGACTTCAGACTACTACGAGGACCGAGCCCGCGTCTCAGCCGGGTCCCCCACACGTCCTTCTACGACTGGCCATGCCTTCTTACACTGCTCCTTTGTCTTTGCAGGCCTCCTGCCCTGAGTGGCAGCCCCATTATCTCCGACATCTCGTTGATCCGGCTTTCCCCACACCCCGCCGGCCCCGGGGAGTCCCCCTTCAACGCCCCCCACCCCTACGTGAGCCCCCACATGGAGCATTACCTCCGTGCCATGCACAGCAGCCCCACACTCCCCACGATCTCTGCGGCCCGGGGCCTTAGCCCCGCTGACGGTGAGTAGGGCCTGGGGGACTGGGGGACAGGGCCACTAACCCTAACAGTGTTGATTCCCCAGCCCCAGTCCTCTGGGACAACCGTGAGCAGGCTGACATTCCTCCCCACCAGCCTGAACAACGGGGTGTTCAGTAAGTGGCAACAGCCAACACGGTCTGGGGACCATTGTTCTTGAGAGGTGTTCCGTAAACACCTTTTTGCATGCAAATTATGTACAATAATGGCCGGGTGTGTTTGTTCTTGTAGATCTTATCAGAGGTGAGAACTATTTGGTTGCAGTAAACCAAACTCTGCTTCTGGTTAAGTAGAGGGGGCGTTGGATCCCATCTCATGGGCCCCCAGAGCAGAAGGAGGACAGCACCGGGCTGGCTTCTGCCCCTTGCAGGTCAACACGTGGCCTCCAAAAGACACCCCAAGCCTCCACATGTGAGCACTGATGGCCTGGTGTGTCTCAGGTCAGATGCTTGAGAGAGAATTGCCTGGTCCAGCTGGGAGATCAGATGCCCCTCCCCCTCCCCCAATCCAGTTAATTTGAGACACGTCACGGGACGCGAATATTAGATTTTCAGATCTAAAATGTAGTACTTCCAAAAACAATGTGCTACTTCCAGCCCCATCGCCACCTCACCGATGCACCCGTACAAACACACACACGCAAACGCACACGCATGCACATACACACTCACGCTGGACGCTAGTAAGCACATTTGGGAGCTGGCCCCGCCCACCCTGTCATCCCGGAAGTGCTCCCACCCCACCCCTAGCTTGGAGCGCTGTCCCCATGGTACCCGGTGGCCACTTATTGCTGCCGTTTTTGTCAAAAAACAACCGGGTTGCATCTTCTCAGAATCTGCCCACCGAAACTATCGGGCAGAGGGACGTTCCAGAGGACAGACGTTTCTAAGGACTTTGCACTCAGGAGCCCGTGGGCAGAGGCTCCGGGAAACACGATCCCAGCGGGTCCCTCCTAACCACATCCCGTCCTCACCAGGGGCGATGTGCCCTCTCCCACTTTGTGGATATGACTGGAAGCTGGAGCTGAGTCCCGGACCTGAGAGGCTCAGGTTGGAGTTTCACAAGGAAAAGGACTCCAGCCTCCAAATACACAGAAAGGACTATCTGGCTCGTCACTCTAGCCATGTGTTTTGCACTTCGCCTCATCTTTACCACCAAGAAACCAGACGAGGCAACTGCCAGCAACCACAGGACGTGGAAGTGGCTGGCCGCAGTGTGGCCGTTCTGAAGTGACTCCCAAGGGGTCGGACCCCAGCCCTGAAATCTCCACGGCGAAGCGTTTCGCTGCCTCCACATTGAGCCGCCGACTCCGGAACGTGGGCCTGTGCTTCTCCACGCCTCTGCTGATGACCCAGCCAGCGATGCGCTGGCGCGGAGCGTGAGGATGCTGCCCTGGCCTTGAACCTCGCACGCGGTGCAGTGCGCTGAACCGTGCCTGCCCCCGGGAAGATGCGTCCACACCCCACTCCCCGAACCTGAGAGTGTTGCCTCATTTGGAAAAAAGGCCTTTGCAGATGTGATTTAGTTGGGGATTCTGAATGAGGAGATCATCCTGGAATGTCCGCGTGGGCCTTAAATACAACGATAAGTGTCCTCACAAGAGACATATGAGAGAACAACGCGTAGATGGGAGAGATGTGGCCACCGGCCAAGGAAACTGGGAACCCCCAGAAGCTGGAGGGAGAAGCACAGAACAGATTATCCCCTCGAGCCTCTGGAGGGAGCGTGACCCTGCTGACACCTTCACGTCGGACTTCTGGCCTCCAGGACTGTGTTGTTCGAACAGCAGTCAGCGCTGAGTTTGTACTTACGAACCTGTTACGGCAGCTGTAGGAGATTAAGACACATGGCTCGTGGGTCAGAGCCCCTGAGAGATGTCTCTAGAAGAGACAAGGACACAGTAGTTTCAGTGGATAACGGTGTAGCCCATCCCTTGAAGGAGGGACTTAGAGTTGTGGAGCACTGATTCGATGCCTGATTTCCATATAAACGTCGCCGTGGCTCCTGTCACGCCCACTTATCCTCAGCCCCAGTCCCTTGAGAAAGCAGGCATGGGGCCAGCTCCAGAGGGCACTTGGCTAATTTGCAGACTGAAACCCTGAGACCTTGCTGGCCCTGAACCAAGCTCCCAAGTGAGTAGAGACAGCACGACAGGCTCACACCGCCCGTGTGTCAGCCCCAGCACTTGCCCACACGAGGCCCGGAACGTTCATCAGCTATGAGAGGCAGCGTCTGCCAGACCGCGTGTGCTCTGAGGACAAACGGGCCCTCCAGGGAGGGCTTCAGGGAGGAGGCGGACATCCAGAAGAAAGGGGGACGGGAGGGTGTTTCAGGCATGGACAGGGTAAGCAGAAGCCGTGGGGCATCATCCCGGCTGCAGGCCAGGGCTCTCTCTAGTGGATACAGCAGAAGTTGAGGAAGAGGAAGAGGGTGACTGTTTCCACTGACTGGCTTCTCTCTGCCCAGGGCATACGGATGAGATCTTTGCTTTTTGCCAAGACAAAGAGCAGAGACTGCCAGAGTCCCCATCTGCCAGTGGGGGGTGGTAATGGTGACCCTGAGGTCATAGCACATGGGGATGGTGACACTGAGAATGAACGTGAGTCCCTCAGCACTGCCCGCACAGGCCCAGCAAGCACTCAGCACGATGCCGGCCATCACTGACATTTTGAATAGTAACTTGGGTCGTGAGTATTAGTGCCCCCGTGTTATGGATGGAAAACTGAGGCAGCTGAGAAAGGAGGCCCCTTCCCAGTTTTGCACACCTGGTGAAAGGCAGGACTCTCAATGGGTATGTGTGGCTCCAAGCTCCGCGCTGGAGTGCCAGGCCCCCTCGAAGATGCTCCGAAGTTCATCCTCCCTGCCTCTTGGCTGAGCCCCTGGAGGGGCTGAGTGCAGGGCTGGAGGCAGACAGCTCGGGTCCCGCGGTCGCAGGCCAGGCCGGGAGCTTGATCTGGCTGGGTCCGGGTGATCTCGCCGTGACTGTTCAGGCCCCGCCGACCCCCACAGCGTCTTTGTTTCCCGGGGCACCTGGGTGGCTCAGTCGGTCAAGCGTCCGACTTTGGCTCGGGTCATGATCTCACAGCTCGTGAGTTTGAGCCCCGCGTCGGGCTCTGTGCTGACAGCTCTGTCTCCCTCTCTCTCTGCCCCTCCCCCACACGCGCTCTGTCTCTCCCTGCTTCTCAAAAAATAAAGAAAACTAATAAAAACAGTTTACATGTTCGTTTCCCTTTGAAGGCTCTGCTGGACGGTGGACAGGGGATGCTGTCAGCCTGGGGCTCTTGTCTCCTGTGGGGCCTGCACGGGAAGGAAGGGGTGGTTGTTTACGGCTCTGCAGACGGGATCTGGGTCCCCATCGGCAGGAACACGCCCCACCCCACCTCGTCTGCTCAGTGGGGGGAGGGGACCCAGGGACAGAGGAAGGACCGGCGGGCACTAGGGGGAGCTCGCCAAGCCGTCTGTGTGTTTCTCTATTTGGTGCCATGTCCTGATGGCTTCTTTCTCTCTCCTTTCCTCCTGCCCACAGTGGCCCACGAGCACCTCAAGGAGAGGGGATTGTTTGGCCTCCCCGCTCCGGGCACCAACCCCTCAGACTATTACCACCAGATGACTCTCATGGCGGGCCACCCTGCGCCATACGGGGACCTGCTGGTGCAGAGTGGGGGTGCCGCCAGTGCGCCCCACCTCCACGACTACCTCAATCCGGTGGATGGTGAGTGCTGGGCGGGGGCGGGGAGCGAAAGAGGGGACGCCGCTCCTTCTGTGGGTGAGGAGCCCTAAGGAGTGGTCTGGGATCCTTGCCATGACTGCTGTCCGCAGGGGACCGAGTCTGAGCGACTCCCACAAACACTTAGTGAGTCGCCGCAAGCCAGGACATGTTTTAGCAATTGCAGACTGGGGAACAAAACACACTCGTTTCTGCTTTCATGGAACTTACAACGTGATAGGGAGAGACAAAGCCAAGAATGGAGTAGGAAGCACTGGGGTGAAGTGAGGGGTGGGGGTTGGGTATAGTCTTGAATGAGGAAATTGAGAAATCCTCCCTGGGAAAATGATATTCAAGCAAGAATTAAAGGAGGTGAGCGGTACAGAAATATGTGGAAAGAATGATCCAGGCAGGGAAACAGCAAGTGCAAAGGGCCTGAGGCAGCAGCATGCCCTCTGAGTTCAAGAAAAAGCCAGGAGGCCAGCATGCCTGGCACCCAGTGAGTGGGCGGGGCAGGAGTAGGGTGAGGCCAGATTTCTGGGGCTGGTTGTGCAGGCTGGTCAGGGCTTGGTAAGACTTTGTCTGGCTTAAGCATCATGGGACCCTTGGAGGGGGATTGGACAGAGGAGTAATGAGACCTGACTTTTTTTTTTTTTAACATTTTATTTATTTTTGAGAGAGAGAGAGAGAGAGAGAGCACGACCAGGGGAGGGGCAGAGAGAGAGGGAGACACAGAATCCCAAGATGGCTCCAGGCTCTGAGCTGTCAGCACAGAGCCCGGCACGGGGCTTGAACTCAAGAACCACAAGATCATGACCTGAGCCAAAGTCGGACTCAACTGACTGAGCCAGCCAGGTGCCCCGAGATCAGACTTATTCTTAAAAGGAGTTCCATTGCGGCTGCTGATCTGAGAAGGCTTAAGGGCAAGGTGGAAGCAGAAGGTCCAGTTAGTGGAGGTGTGGAGAAGCGACCACATTGTAGATAGAGCCACCAGATTTGTCCCCAGACCAGATGAGGAGTTAGGAAGAAAGAAGCGCATCACGGTTAATGACTGAGCTGGAGGCTGCAGGCAGGGCACGTCCGGCAGGCAGGATATCCAGTGTTCTGGGTAGGTAATGCTCTGGGTGTCCCTAAAATACCAAGTCTTTCCTTCCCACCAAATACTATGCTGATTTCACAGAGGAGCCTGTGGCCTGGCCCCCTGACCACGAGTCCCTGGGAACAGCATGGAGCCCCCGCCTCTTGGAGGAGAGAGGAAGGGGGAAAGGCTAAGTGCCCGCCTCCCCCAGTTAATGCCACTCTACCTGCTGCTCTTGGAGCCTAGCCCAGAGATACCCAGGGATCCAGGCCAGGCAGTGGAGCTAGAAACCACAGCGGCAGGGGGCAGGGCGGGCAGGCGGCTTCTGCAGATTTATCCTCCTCCAGCTCTGCCTGGGACGGCTTTTGCAGTCCCCGAAGGCAGGGAGCACGCAGGCCCACAGGGAGACCTGCCAGAGAGGGATGGCCTGGTACCTACTGGGCTGCGTGACTCAGGGTGGGTCCCTGCACCCCTCAGCCCCCTCCTGTCCCCCAGTACTTCCTGTCCACACCAGCCACTGCAGCTCCCCCTTATTGCCTGGGGCAAAGCTGAGCCCCTCACTTCCTAAGACCTGGCCGAGCTCTTGCCTCCTCCAGGACACACGCCTTCTCCCTCCTCTCCCCTGCCCTTCTCGCCTCACGCTTACAAGAGCGACCTCGTGTGGCTCCTGAACCCCGCTGGGCACTACCTGTTTCCCCACAAGAGTGTTGCTGGGGAAGAGCCCTGGAGCGTCTCCTAACACTGGCTCTCACGGCCCCATCACCCTTGACATGGCCTGAGGGATGCCATCAGAATGTGATCCCTGGGTCTGTCCCGCCCCTGTGCCTCTCCATAGCCCTCTGGTGCTCCCCACAGGGAGGCGGGCGGCGTGTCAGCAGGTGGCGAGGGTGGAGCTCAGGTAAAGCTGTGTGTACAGGCCACTTGTCAAAATTAGAAACCAGACAACAGGTACAATGCAACTAGTCCTCAAATAGCCACGTCTGAACATCACATCCCCCCACGCAGGGCCTCCCAAGGCTTCAGGGTGGCCGGCACCAGGCCAGCTGGACAGCGGGCAGACACAGACAAACCATGGCAGAGGGTCTGGTCAGGCAGGTGTCCCCAGAGGGCAGGAGAGGCCGAGTCAGCCAACATGAGCACCTGCCCTGTGCCTGTGTGACCGCCACCTCCATCCTGTGCCTTTCCATACACTCTCCCCTGTGACTGCCCTCAGCCGTCTTCTGAGGCTGGAATTGTCATCTCTACTTTAAGATGAGCACACTGGGGTCGTGTGACTTGCCTAGGCTGTGAGTTGGGGTTTCAAGCCCCGCTGTTTATCACCAACACATTGGCTCTTCCCTTGGGCACACTGCCTCCAGGCAGCACCACACATCTGTCACCCCAAGAGCCATGGCCTCAGGGAGGGCCTGCTGGGCCAGAAGTGTTCCAGCTCGGCCTAGAGCAGCTGGGCCAGAGTGGATGCTGCCCTTTGGGGTGGCCTTGGGAAGGGAGTTGGGGCAGTGAGCTGCAGACACATCTAAGCCAGCACTGCCTGTGCGCGTCCCCACCGTGGGAGATGACCCAAGGGAGCCAGGGGCACCGGATGGGGTCCGGACAGTGATTCCTAGCCCCATATGCCAGTTGGACTAAACACACTACTGAGTAAGGTCGTGCATGTGAACTTGGCCAGTGCCTGGCGTGCAGGAGCGACTCCATCAACACTACTTCCTGTGTCTTTCTAGCCTTTTCCCTCGTTCACATCTTCCCCTCCTGTGGGAGTTTTGTCTATCGAGTGCCTGTGTCGCTGTCCACCGCGTGCTTAGCCTAGTGCCAAAACTCCTCGTGGCCACCGCCCCATGCCTCCCATCCGTCCCAGCCCCAGGCCTGCCACGTCTGAGTCGTCAACCCCCCCGCAGCGGTCCTGTTATTTGCCACCTTCCCAGCACTGCCGTTCGGCTCGGGCTCCCTCGGCCTCACGGTTGCCTCGCAGTAATTTCTCATCCCCTCCGTCATTCTGCATCCCTGTGGCTTTCGTCACCCTCAGGGCAAGATTCAGGCTTTATAACCCGGCTTGAGTGGCCTTCCCCTGCAGCCTAGTCTTCCCCGCCCCTCCCCCCGCCTTGCACACTGCCTCCCACCACCCGGCTCCAATGAAGTCTCCCAGACAATTGCTCTGCTCCTGCCTGCAATGCCCTTCCCTGCGGGCTTGCCCAGCTCGCTTCTGCTCCGTGTGTTCGGACCCCAGTCAGCCGCCACTTCTGAGACACCACCCGGATCCAGCCCCAGCTCAACCGTGTCAGCTCTGCTCGCGCTCCCTCCCTCCCACCTGCGGGGCTGTAACTGGCTGCTGCTTCTCCGTTGACAAACTGGGGGGTTCCCCAGGTCTGGGAGCATGGCGGCCAAGGAGCAGGCCTCTGTGTTTGCAGAGTGACTGAGTGAGTGAGTGGTGGTCACCAAAAAACCTAGGATAGAAAGACGCAAACTAATTGGGGAACTACCCGGGGTCAAGCAGCTGTCGGCTCTTTGCAGGGAGCTGGGGAGGTGGCCGGGAACACGGCAGCTTTGTTCTCAGGGGCGCTCAGCATTTGGCAGCATCTGGGGCTGAGCAGGAGTAAGGGAGGTGAGCTCATCAGTGGGCGTGAGAGCTCTGCGCTCGCGTTGGACTCATCACACCCACCCACCATCCTTTCTCCACCTCTCCTCTCGGGAACATGATTGTCTTCAGGGTATAGAGGGAAGTTTCCATCCCGGACCTGGGCAGGCATATCAGTTTCTCACCCCAGATCTGCTGAGGCTGGGGGTGAGGCTTGGCAGGGGGTGGGGGTGGGGGGTGGGGGGGGCGCGGTTCTGAACCCTAAAGGATTTCAGGAACAGATGACTCTTTTCCTTTGGTCCCAATCCCTTACGATCCAAGGAAATTAAGAGTAGGCCGACACAATATCCTGTATCTGTCATTACTTAATACGGTTCTTTTTGTTTTTTTTCAAGCCAGTTTGAACTACAACCAGAACATTTGCTTCTGCTTCTAAAAATGTTTTAGGCATTTCTGGGGCTCCTGGGTGGCTCAGTGGGTTAAGCATCCGACTTCGGCTCAGGTCATGATCTCACGGCCTGTGAGTTCGAGCCTGCTTCAGATTCTGTGTCTCCTGCTCTCTGACCTTCCCCTGCTCACGCTCTGTCTCTCTTTCTCAAAAACAAATAAACATCAAAAAAATTTTTTTAATGTGTTAGCCATTTCCGTTCAGCTCTGATGCCCAAGTGGATGTGTCGTTCACATGCATCTATTAGACCCCAGTGCGCACAGCTCAGGTCGGCCTCTGGAGTATCCCCAGCCTCTCCTTTCCTATAAACTGGGGAGCAGGGAAAACCCACCAGCTCCTGCTGGTCCCAGCTGCATGGGTGTGGGGAGAGACCCTCCCAGGAAGCTTTAGTCCACCCAGTGAGGTGTAGACCTTCAGAATTGTGCAGGCTCAGCACCCACCTGTGGAAGGGTCCCGAGACTCTCCGAGAATACGTGTGTTCATGTTAGAAAGCCTCCTATAACCATGACCATGGCAGGTAAGCTCTGTGCAGGTGCAGGGGGCCTCATGACTTTGTGGGAAGTTCAGGAAACTGAGCCTTCTCTCTCTCTCTGTCTCTCTCTGTCTCTCTCTCTCTCTCTCTCATTCATTCTGGGGGTGTTTCTTAAGCACCTCCTATGTGCCAGGAATACACAGTGGTGCATAGCATGCCAAGTCGTGCCCTCGTGGTGCCTGATAAGTTCCACAGGTGGCTCTGTGTAATAATCCTTGCACTTTTCATACATTCACCTTTTGGGGTTAAATAAATAGACCTTAAAATAGAACCTTGTATTTTTTCTCATATGGGAAACCAGATATGCTCTGAGGAAGACGTTCGTGTCCTTGCCTCCGTCAAGCCCAAAATAACCTCATCTGGGTTGAGCGTGCGT